TTTTCATGAGCTTAAACTGTTTTATGGAGTGTCACAGTAAAGGGGTTTGAACATCTTTCCACCTTAAAGCCATGCAAGGTGTTGAGCCATTTTTTTATTTCTAAATTGCAGGTAAATTCCTAATATTCTGTGGTTGTAAACTGGCAACATGAAAACAGGAAAAACTGTAATTCTTACATGCTCATGGTAAGAAAACACTGAACCTGTTTATTATTGGAACTGCTCAAAAAGACTAGATTAAAGGTTTACCTTTTGCCAAACTTGATTTTCTTCCTATCTTTCAGTGTGAGAAATTGCCACCTGACAAAAGAGTCGTAGAATGGGTTCACATCAGTGGTGATGAAAGAACGCCTCCAATCCCCCTGTAAAATAATCCAGCACAGCTTGAAAATGTATTTTTTTTCCTTTTATAAAAACTCCTGAGAAGTATTTCCAATGACACAATGAAAAAAATGTATGTGAGGATAAATAAAGAAGATAAACTGTTGCAAGCAATAGTTTTGTACGCTGAATCACCTTGACTCCCATCTGTTTGAGGTCTTTGATTGCCAAAGGAGGGAAGTACTCCAGCCAGTGTTCTGCATTGGCAAATTTAGCAATTTCCTGGTCATTTAGACCTAAAGACCTCATGATGTCCCATTGGAAGGTGGAGGATCCAGCTTTGGCCACTGCTTTACTCTGACAAGGAAAGAAGTGGAAGAAAACAGCTTAAGAAAAATAATTGGTTTTTTTCTGTTTACAAGACAAGGCTATTGCTTTTTTCTCCTATTTCAAATCTGAAACAGAAATATTTTTATCACTTATTTTTCATCAAGAAATATTTCATTCTTTATTTTAATCCAATTTACATTCATTAGATCTTAACTTGGAAAATTATTTCATCCCAACCTTCTTTCCCTTTGCTTTGTCCTTGATGATGATTTCATCAGAGGCTTTGGGTTTCTCCTTTTCCTCTTCATCCTCATCTGGAAACTGGGGAGGGTTTCCATACAGCTCCATCTCTCTCTTAAGCTTGTCAGCACAAGCCTGATGACGAAAAATCAATTTAAGAACGACAAGTGAGAAATCGCTTATGACCCGTTTTAAGCAGAGTTTATCATAGAAATGAACATCACATCAATAATTAATGATCAATTTGATAATAAAAGATAAAGCAGATATGATAATATGATGCCACCACAGAGTTTTTTTTTTTTTTTTTTTTTTTATCAAAAACTAGTGTTTAGCAGCTGTATAGACTTTGATGCCAGTTATTCAGTTGCACATTGATGGTATTTTTTAAGTTTTATTTTATAAAAGTTTTCTTCTGAGATATGAGGTTAATATGATTTAAGAAATGTAGTAGCTTCCATTCAACTGTGAAACATTATAGAGATTAAAGGGAGCCTAAATAAGTTTCCTTTTTAAGCTATCTACAGGAAAAGGATGAAATAGCCTTTGAAACTTTAAATCCAAAGGCAAACAAATTAGTTTTCATCAGTAATTGAGTTCTTTATCAGTTTGCCTGGCATTAATTCGAAAATGTCAATCACTGAGACAAATTTATACTCATCCAGCAGAGTTATCATGTAGAGTTTTCTTAATGGAAGACAGGTTGACCTGGGAAGAGCATCCATCCTTCTCAACTTCCATTTTTCAAATTCAATTAAAAAGAGGCCTGAGGTTATTAGAACATCAATTCTAATTGAACTGCTCTCTGAAAACAGAAATCAAATAACAAACAGATGGAATCTAAATATACGGTCAGATAAGTTTGACTCCAAACATTTGGTGTGACCCACTGGGCTTAACAAGACATGCAAGTTCTGGACACATCAAACTTTGAAATTAACATCAAACTTGACAACTACGCTGATAAACCATTTTTTAAGATTTTTGGAACAAATTTATCTTTTTTTTTTATTATCCAATGATGAAGTGTTTCATCAATGAGAACTATTTAGAAAAAAGTATTAACACTAGAGAAAATCTATTCTGCAGTATATAATTTTCATGCATTTTCATGGCCGTAGATAAAAAAAAAAGACTTTCTGTACTTTATGTTGTTTTTTTTATTATTTATTTAATAATTTTTATTTTAAAGAAAGCACTTAAACTTATTAGATCAGGAAAAGGAAATCTTGTTTAAAAATTTACTCAAATTTTATGGTAGGAGTAGGGAAAAGAAAAGGAAGATTAACCTTGATCGGCATGCCTGTGCAGTGCAGTCCAAACGGGAAGAGGCATTTTTTCCCCTTCAGAGACTGGTAGCCAACAGCGAACTGCAGGAACAAATTAGAGGAAGAAAATTGCATAAAAAGATCTTTGGTAAATTATTAGTAACGTTTCAAGTCATTTAAGATACAGAGTTTAAACAGCATATAATAGTTTTCTAATATGATACAAAATTCCAACAAACAGCAAACACCAAATTATATATGTTTTTAGGACAGCCCACCTCCATGATTGGCATTAATTTTAATCTAATACTTCTCCATTTGAAACCAAATTGAACTCAGGACAAATAATTGTTTAAACATTATAATTGAAGTGATTTTTCCCTTCTATGTCACATCTTTGAATTTAGGACTATTAAGACAGACTTAAACATTTTCTCAAAGGAAAATTTATTTGCACATGTCTACTAAAGACAAAGCATTATAAAATATGAGTGTATAAGGTGGAGGTCCTTTATTTTAAAGACGGCAACATTTGCAACGTATTTACAAGCATTCCTGTTTATCCAATTAAAGTCTCTCTGAGCCAGCCAAATGACAATAGATTAAATTGTTATAATCCACAGGAATAGCAGAGAGAATGTGGTAAATCACAGCTGGTTGGAATCAATGCCAAGATCTAGATCATGGCCAACTTTTTTCTACTGAAAAGTTCAGAGACGTCAATTTTTTTTTTCTGCCTAGGTATATACATGTGAAGAGTAAATAAAACTAATTTCACCTTCGAAATTCCAACTTACCTCACACTTTGACAGGCTGAAAGTATGGCCAAGATGCAATCGACCATTCATGTATGGATACGGGAAAGTGACAAAGTACTTGTTTCTGCTGAAAAGAAACCAAAATGGCATAACTATGTAGTAGTATGCACCTGATATTCAATGCAATCATCCAGAGTAGGCTTTTAAAACTTTTGATATTATGAGTATGTGTTTGTTTGTGATCCACTCTTTTAAGTGTTTATTAAAATACTGGGTGTTACATCCCTATAATAATAGCTTTTTTGCTGTTTAAGGATGCAGTTATGAAAAATAGCGTAAATGTATCTCTTAGTGAAATAGAAGGGGCTAAGCGTTGAAGTTGGGATGGAATACCAGCTGATTTTTTTTTATCTGCAAATAGTTTCCCAATTAATGCCTAAGAACTTAGAAGATGTAGACTAAAATATATATTGAAACTAATATGTATAAAATTCAAGATATAGTACCAAAAGCTCATTTTAAATAGAAATTTAAGCAGAAATACTTATTTCCCCTCACTAGAGGCGAGTAAATTCCAAATAAATAAAATATATTCTGTATTTCCATTTAAACTGTTTTACTTTTTGTTTGTTTGGGTGAAAAATTATTACAAGAAAATTTCAATTTCTTTAAATAATTAAAAAAAATAGTTCTTAAAGATTTATACAATAACGGACATGCTATTCATTGGCTATAGTTAGCTTTAGTCCAAATTAAATAGTTGTGTTTTTACAAACTAGATTATTTTCCCATCTCTATTTTAATTTCAACTATATGGTTAAAAAAAGGAAATACAATTAAGGGACGATTACAAAAGAATAAACTAACATTTAGTCAAATGTATAAATGACAGGAAATTGCACAAGGACATTTACAGATGACATAAGATATAAACAACAACAATACTGTGGAAAAAAAGCTAATACGGTTTTTGAATTTCAAAACAAATTCAGTGAAATTATTACAAATGTTACCTTTGAAAAACTTTTAGTTTGTTTTTTCCCTGTTATTTGGTAACAAAACAATAAAATAAAAACATTGTTTAAACTATTGGTTAAGAAACCTTTCCTAACATACCAACTATATGATTTTTATTGTATTTCCTGTGGGTAAATCTGGGACTTCCACCTTTGGAGGAATGAAAATATAATAACATTTGTAATATATCTGTCACAATAAAATAAAAACTTAAGGAAAATGTTCTAACATTCAGCTTATAGTATAAAACATATCAGATTGTATTTACCAATTACATCTGAAGAGGAATTTTAAGGTGAACTAAATGATAACGGCTGCAACTCACTTGTAAGTTTCTCCAACGGTTGAAGGTGCATCGTTCTCAAACACTTTCTCCTTCTCCCATTTTTCCTGGATTTCTAATTCAATCCTTCTCAAGTAGTCCAACTTGGCTGTTCCTTTTCGTTCCTTGGAAAGAAATTTAAGCAAGAATTTGAGTAAAAATAAAATATGAATTCAACATTTTTAAGAAAGAGGAAAAATTACGCCAATAATGTTATGTTAACGAAAGGAAATTTGTCACATTTTTGGTGTATCAGACGAATTTTGTGCAGCTGAATCGAGAGCTCGTGCTAGCTTAAGTAGCTTATGGTTAGAGATGGAAAAAAGTATTAATCTATTTAAAAGTATAGAAACATTATCAAGTGTGGTAAACCTATGTTTGTCACCTACTGTCATTTTGCAAAGATGCGTTGGGATGTGCTTTTCTGTTCTTTAAAAAGGGGAAAATAAAAGAAATGTTCAAGTGAGAAGAGAAACCCACGCCACCGGTGTCTAGATGATGACACTCATCGACTTCCCGTAAAGCTTTCTGGGAAATGTGGTCCCAACCGCCTTTTAGTTATTTACATTATAAAATACCAAATTATCAACTGTCTTGATTCAAAATAATGTTTTAGTAATATTTCTGTATTTCAATATAAAAATCCGCTTGTTATAATCATTTTTCGTGGCTTGGAAATAACATTTTGTTTGGGATATTATGACGTGCCTCGAGGCTGCTTTACGACAGCTCGACTCATGTCGAAAAGCCGTAAAACAGTGCGTACGACCTGCCAGAAGAGAAGACAGGAGGCCTTAAAGCTTACAAAAGTGTAGACGATGAAACTAGGATTGACAAGGCATACTTTCTATTTATAGGCAGTATTAAAGTCTTTTTCACGATGATAATAGAAAATGTGGATGCCTTGAAGTCGTGGCTTGCTAAACTCCTGGAGCCGATGTGAGTACTCGATTGAAATTACATTTAGCTGCTATGCTACATTAGCTAGCGAGCCTGGCCAGAGCATCAGTGAAGCCGAGCTGTAATCAGGCCTTTGGAGGAAGAGAACAGCTATAATCCTGTTTACTTCGCGCATGAAATGCTTTAATAACGTGCCTTACTTGAGCGTCGATTTATTAGATTGATCAAGAGACATGAATCAAGTTGGCCTCTCGATATACCACAGGTAGTCTTTCTGGTTTTCTTTAAATGTAAAAGAGGATTCTAAAGGTTTTAAATGAAACTTAACGCGGCAAATAGGGGAAAAAAGTTAATGGAAGGAAGGATTACCAATAATTGTAATTTAACTTTCAATCAGTTGGATTCATTCACTTCTACATTTAGTTTTATGGTGTACCGGTTGTTTGTTTTAAGAGATCAAGGGATCTGTATTTTTCTCACAAACAAAAAATTGCAGTTGAGCTATTTTAAAACAGAACAAGTTTTATTTTGAAAAGTGTATTTAAGAAAACATCAGCTTATTCTGCTTAGTGTTTATGTAGGTCAATAGCATAACAGGTATGACCAAGATGAGCTGATCAGCTGGCAATACTAAAACAGTCTGTTTATTTTTCATCATCACTATGTCCACCGCCGGCTGTATAGCTTTTATAAACAGTCATATACAAGGCAAAAGGGCGGGACAGTATTGGCTAAATAAAATATTTCTTTATTTCAGGTGACGCAATATAAGAATCACATTGAAATTAAAATAACTAAAATAATCAAAAAGACTGCTTAGATTGACCAATACGGAATAAAACAATCATTTTACCATGTTTATAAATCCTCATTTATTAAATATTTACTTTAAAAATCAAAACACATGAAGCTACATGAAACCTGGTATATACACCACTAACACCAGCTTTTATCTTAGACTTTAACATGTATTAAAATGAGAAAATGGGTTTAAATTAAAAGTCATATCATCCTTATTAAATACAATTACAGGTGCTGGTCATAAAATTAGAATATCATGAAAAAGTAGATTGATTTCAGTAATTCCATTTAAAAAGTGAAACTTGTATATTATATTCATACATTACATACAAACTCATATATTTCAGATGTTTATTTTGTTTAATTTTGATGATTACAAATGACAACAAATGAAAATCTGAAATTCATCATATCAGAAAATTAGAATATTACTGAAGACCAATAAAAACAAAGGATTTATAGAAATGTTGGCCAACTGAAAAGTATGAAAATGAAAAGTATGAGCATGTACAGCACTCAGTATTTAGTTGGGCCTCCTTTGGCCTGTATTACTGCAGCAATGCGGCGTGGCATGGAGTCGATCAGTCTGTGGCACTGCTCAGGTGTTATGATAGCCTAGGTTGCTCTAATAGTGGCTTTTAGCTCTTCTGAATTGTTGGGTCTGGTGTATTGCATCTTCTTCTTCACAATACCCCATAGATTTTCTATGGGGTTAAGGTCAGGAGAGTTTGCTGGCCAATTAAGAACAGGGATACCATGGTCCTTCAACCAGGTACTGGTAGCTTTGGCACTGTGTGCAGGTGCCAAGTCCTGTTGGAAAATGAAATCTGCATCTCCAAAAAGTTGGTCACCTGCAGGAAGCATGAAGTGCTCTAAAACTTCCTGGTATGTGGCTGCGTTGACCCTGGACCTCAGAAAACACAATGGACCAACACCAGCAGATGACATGGCACCCCAAACCATCACTGACTGTGGAAACTTTACACTGGACTTCAAGCAACGTGGATGAAGTGCCTCTCTTCTTTTCCTCCAGACTCTGGGACCTTGATTTCCAAAGGAAATGCAAAATTTACTTTCATCAGAGAACATGACTTTGGTCCTGTTTCTCTTTAGCCCAGGCAAGACGCTTCTGACGCTGTCTGTGGTTCAAGAGTGGCTTGACACAAGGAATGCGACAGCAGAAACCCATGTCTTTCATACGTCTGTGTGTGGTGGTTCTTGAAGCACTCACTCCAGCTGCAGTCCACTCTTTGTGAATCTCCCCCACATTTTTGAATGGGTTTTGTTTCACAATCCTCTCCAGGGTGCGGTTATCTCTCTTGCTTGTACACTTTTTTCGACCACATCTTTTCCTTCCCTTCGCCTCTCTATTAATGTGCTTGGACACTGAGCTCTGTGAACAGCCAGCCTCTTTAGCGATGACCTTTTGTGTCTTGCCCTCCTTGTGCAAGGTGTCGATGGTCGTCTTTTGGACAACTTACAAGTCAGCAGTCTTCCCCATGATTGTGTAGCCTATAGAACTAGACTGAAAGACCATTTAAAGGCTTTTGCAGGTGGTTTGAGTTAATTAGCTGATTAGAGTGTGGCACCAGGGGCCATCAATTTTGAACCTTTTCACAATATTCAAATTTTCTGATATGATGAATTTGAGATTTTCATTTGTTGTCATTTGTAATCATCAAAATTAAACAAAATAAACATCTGAAATATATGAGTTTGTATGTAATGTATGAATATAATATACAAGTTTCACTTTTTAAATGGAATTACTGAAATCAATCTACTTTTTCATGATATTCTAATTTTATGACCAGCACCTGTATATTGTTATATATATATATATATATATATATATATATATATATATATATATATATATATATATATATATATATATATATATATATATATATATATATATATATATATATTGATATTTAATGATTGTTTAGCCCTATTTAAATGTATGAATAACTAAAGTTATACTGTGTACTAAATCTTCCTGGAAGCAGTCTTTTGCGATTACAGATTAAATTTCTGTGACAATTGTAATTCAGATTTTCTGTTTACGAACATTTAGTTTATGAAAAATAGTTTTTTTTGTTTTCTTCCTCCGATACACCCTTTGGACTTCCATAACTTATGGTGACATTAACGCATCACTTTTTCTACTTAGATATATACTAAACTAATAAACTAGTTTAGTGTGTAACACCACTAGCAGCAAACATTTTGGCTGTGTCCGAATGTAAGCCCTATATAGTGGTAATGCCATTTTAATGTCCGAATGTCTAGTGGATGAAAAAGAAAACTTCCCACAATGCACTTCCAACTGTAGTGTGACAAGCAGCTATATTCCAGAATGCAAGAGATCTCCTCACAAAGCATCATGGGATTGATTTTGGGGCTGAGAAAGAACAAAAATGGTGCATGCACCGTGCAGGGAACTGGAGTCACGTGACCAACTGGGAGCAAAAGGTAGTGATCATCTGTCCGAGTGGTCAGTTAAATGATTTCACTATCAAGTCTACTATAGAGTCCCTGCTCTATATAGTGATTGAGGGTTTAGGGCGGACTGGACACAGCCTTATGTTTTCATTGATTGTTGGGGAGCATGATTGCTTTATAGTATTTTTCACAGCTTCAATTTTGATGCACATTATATTAAGGTCACCACACAGAGAGGGTAATTAAAATAAAAGCTAGTTTTTGAGATCCGTGTGTTTTTTGTTTTTTTTTACTTTAAAACGTAAATAAACAAAACAAAAAACTATTAGTTTAAATTGGTAGGAAATAATACATTTTATTTTTTATATTTTGTTCTGAATTAATTGCAATTTTATTAAATTACCAAAAAGTTTGCTTCAGTAAAGCACCACACTTAAGATGCAGTTTGATTTTAAAACAGATTCTTTATGAACCCATTGCATCCTGAGTTTCTGTAAGAGGGAAAAGAAAAGAAAAAACACATACACATTAGTTTAGACTTATTATCCATGACTGTATCCAAATCTGATAATCTTTTTAACATTAGTATTTGGCTTTCAAAAATGCCCTGAATATGGTTGAAGATGTTTTTCTTCTAAAAAATAGTGGAGTTTAGCTTTCACATTGTTCTCGAATATCAGTATAGTATGCTGGAGGAATTTATTTGTTTTAAATGTTCTTAACAGCTGTTTTTACAGTTTTATACGTGGAGTGTAATATGAACGTTTCTTTCAAACAATCATATGTCTTGTAATGTAGATAAGAGTCTGTGTATATTGATAAATGTTTTACATTTCTGACTTTGCTTTAGCAAACAATTAATGATTTGTACAGTTTGTTTTTCCTGAAGCATTAGATTATCTTCTGAAGATAGCACAATCTGTCACAATGCTCTCTTAGTTTAAGTGGGATTGACTCTTCTCTTTTTGCCTCTTATCTTTGCTTTTACTATTAATACTGCTTTTTCTTTGCAGGCTTTGCAGTTTTCCGCTGCATGTTAGAAATGGCCATAATGTTAGTTGTTAGACCAGACTTTAAGAGCTGCCTGATCTACTCACCTTGAGAATAAACTGTTCTGTTACCATGCTTGGACTTTTTAGAATCACATGGGGAAATGGTCTATCAGAACAACAGTGGTTCACCTTTCATTGAATGTAAAGTGCATTTTTGGAGTTTGTGGCAAAGCACTAATTTACTTTAATTTGTGCAATTTAAAAAAAAAAAAAAAAAAAAGCTATTTGTGAACTAAACATTCATTCCTTCTGACTTGCAGATGTGAAGCTGATCCCTCTGCCTTGGCCAACTATGTGGTGGCACTTGTGAAGAAAGACAAACCAGAGAAGGAGCTGAAAGCCCTTTGTGCTGACCAGCTCGATGTTTTCCTACAAAAGGGTAAGAACTTTTGCTTAAAGCTTCTTTATTCTTGCTGCACTTCTGGTCGTTGCCTGTTTTGTCATGGTGGAAGTTGGTTAGAGAAGTATTTATAACCGTGTGAGAAATGTTACAGACCTTTACCAGTTTTATTTATTTTTCATTTGATATCTGTTTTAATCCATTGATTAAATGCTGATTTACATCAGTTCTCTTTTGACCTACTTTGGAACTAGAATGGCATTAGAAAACATTTGTGTTTTGTTGATGCATATGAACTGAAAGAAGGATAAAGGGATATAAATGGGTTGCAGTGGGTGAAGTAATGGCGCAGCTTACACGTGTATTTATAAAGATAAGAAAAATTACACCAGACGCTACAAAGTACGCCCTGCAGCAACAGGTTTCTGAGCAGTAAGGATCTTCCCCTACATGGGGAGATGATTTAATGAGTTATATATGGGTAAGTTATGGGGCGACCAGATCTGAAAAAACACAAATGTGGGACAACTAGGATGCTGATCAGAGACAATGCTGGACATATGTGGGTTTTTCAGCTGTGTGTTTCTTTTGCGACTCATTTTTACAATGTTGCATCCCCCCTAGTATCGAATTTAAAACAACTTCTGCAATGTTCACAAAAAAGCTCTTTGAGAATCAACTTTCAACAACTCACTTAGTTATGGACAATTCTGCAGTCTTTCCGTTGGCTGTGTTTTATTTTCTTTAAATGTAGTTTCCAAAATATTTTGCATTAAATCGTTTACTTGTTCAATTTTTAATAGCATCGTGCGCAAGTTGGTCATGGTATGAGACCCTGTCACAGCTTTGGGACAATAACTGAAGCTCTGCTTTCTTTGCATCTAGAAAAGGTGCTTGTAAATATAGATTAGACTATCTTTTTTTAATAATTATGAAGTTAGGAAATTTCCATTACTTTATCCCATATTTTGATTTATTTAAAAGTCAGTTTCTAGATTTAAAAATATGGAGAAATGAACAACTTTATGGTTCTTGTTATATTATTTTGTAAAAGGAGCATCTTAGCCTTAATCTTGTTTTCCCATTTCTGAAATCAGAAACCATACTAAAATAGGTAATATTATTAGTATTATGCATGTTATGTAAATAATTTAAATGCTGTCCCACATGTAACCTATGTGTTGCATGCTTCTGTGCTACACTTGCTACACTAGCATTTTTATCTTAAGTTACCGTGTCTTTATTGCCTTTGAGGGCTGAACAATCACATAGTTTCAGTGCTGAGCTGCCAATCAAGGGAACATTTCACATGTTTGATCACTGGGTCGAGTATTCCCTGGTGAAATAGATATGAATAATTTTTAAATTGGATGTTATTTTAAGAGATTTCTATGACATGTAGGTAAAGATGTAAATTTCGTGTGCAGTTATTATAAAAATAGAAAGATATTCACCCCACATCATGCAAAATTAGTGTCTGACAATGCTCAAGTTATCTTAAAGGGTTTTAGATTGGTTACATTTATGAAAAAGGCATTGTTTTAGATTATCTCCAAAATGACGAGCTGTAAGCCTCATAAACGTAATGTGTGTCAGAAGGGTAGTCAAATGTTCTCAACCTGAGAATGGGAGATGTTTGCATGTTTCAAAATGGAATCATGTAAATAATTCACCAGGCTTTTTAACCACAGAGTTCACTTTTCACGTTTAAGACCACTAGAGGGAGTGCTAAATAAAAAAAAAAAAAAAAAAAGAACTGTAAAGATCAATGACTTTTTTTTTTTGTGTCATCTGATAACAGCCTGGGATGCCAATACATCCGACTGATTACTAAGAAAAAAATGTTGACTAATAGAAGTTGTTTTTTCTTTTTTCTAGAGCATATAACAATCTATTGTAACAGTGTTATTTTGCCTGTTCTTTCAAATTTTACCTTTCTGAATCTTTGCAAATGCTCTGCTTGTAATATAATGTGATATATATAATAGGGCTGAAACAATTATTCAGATTAATCCTGATTAATAGATTATTGAAATAATCATCAACTAATTTAGTAATCGATTAATCGTTAACTGGACTACAAAGACTGTAAAACCTGCATTTAGCTGACAGAGCAGCCCACTTAGAGCAGTAATTATATAAAAATTGTAGAAAAAAAGTAAACATTTTGCATTTAAAATAGAAAATATTTATTTTTCACCTGCTAAATGTGCTGTATCCAGAACTCCTCAAGGGTAGACATTTGAGTTTCACCTGGATTAACTCTGTTAAAAGTCTTCTTTAAGGAATCTTTTTCTTTTTCTATTAATTGATTATTCAAAAAAATAATTGACAGATGAATTTATTTAAAATAAACGTTAGTTGCAGCCCAAATATATAAAATCACATAATGTCATACGTGATAATTATGTCATATTTTAATGCAGTCAACCATTGCTTTTCCAGTGTCTTATTTTAAGATGGGCTTTACAGTTATATCTTCTTTTTTTTTCAACTTATAGTCTACATATTTTTTTAAAATTATATTATCCTGTATTATGCAATATTTTAAAGGATCGTGTTAAGTTGAACAAAGCTATATTTTGACAATAATTAATTGATGCAATACAAAAAAAGTACTGGTTTACTAAAGGACTACAGTAGTATTGTCATATTTTCTTCCCTTTGTTTTTCTGTCTCAGCTACTGTAAAACTGTATGTTTGCAACATTATTTTTTTTAATCTGTTTCAGAAACTGTGAAGTTTGTTGATAGCCTTTTTGAGTCGTTAACAACAAAAAACTACCTGGGTAACCCTGCTGCTAAGGAGGCTCCAAAAGAGGAGGTTAAACCTGCTGCAAACAAGGCTGACGTCGTTGAGGTAAAAACAGTCAGCAGTGACAGATTTTACTGAATAAGTAAAGCATTTCCTTAAAGTTTGATAAAGAACGGAGCTGTCTGTTGTTGTTTCCTATTTTAAGATTTACATCAAAACAGTGATGTTTGTCATTTGAAATCTCTCCCTGTGTAACACAACCGTCATTTCCCTTTAGGCCGAAACTCCAGAGGAGGAGAGAGAAAACAGACGCAGGAGGAGTCCCCTGAGAAACCGCCCTGACTTAAACGAATCCAGGCAAGGCTATTTCTTTCCAACTCTATTTATTATTGTTGCTGCATTTTTATGACTCCTTAGCAACTTGAAGCAGGCTGACAGTCTGCTTTTTTAAGTTGTCAAAGCTAAAGCAAACCTGACTGTAAGGTCGCCCTCAGAAAGGTTCCTTAGGGGTGTTGGGGAGGATGTTTTGCCTGGTAGTTGAACCTCAGATCCAGAAGGAACAATAATGCTTCAATCTTGGCCTTTACCAGATCTTTCCCCTCGCTTTTATAAAGGCTGTCCAAACCTTGTATGCTGCCTTGCAGCTAGTCTGGTTCATGGTGTTCATGGGTCGTATCTGTAGGTGTAGAGAGGAGTCGTCTGGATCAGGAACCTCAGCCTCACATCTTATCTTTCAGCAGTTAATGATGTTCTGTGAAATGGTTGAAGTGAGAGACATTTAGGGGCAGCCTAGCTCAGAGTTTTAAGGTATAGTGGACGATATTCTTTTTCCGGGTGGATCATCAAAATAATTGGTCCGCCTAATTGTCAATAATTCTGGTGATATGTTCATGTGAGGCCGTCCTACGTGCTCATCCCCATCTTCACTTAAGCTGGGCTTACACTGTGTGTTTGTTTTTTTTGCCCTTTTCAGGGCGACTTTCCAATCTTGCGAGAATTTTCCGATCGGGCCGACTTTCAGCCTGATCTTGCGTCATACAGTGTACAGGGGGTAACGAGGGGCGATCTCATCCCGATCAGGAATCGTGAGGTCGTGGGCAGATTGCTCATTCGGATTCTTTTTTTTTGTTCTTCCTCTTATACCTCATTTACACTATCCTTGAAAAACCGTGCCGAGACCGGTCCGAGCTCAGTAACTGAGATAACTTATCATATGTAAATGGAAAGCAAACTGAACTGAACCGAGCTAGACTCAACTGGACCGCGCTAACTGCAGACCAGTTCCAAAGGTGGGCTCGGCTCCGTTTTTCCCTGGCTCGGTTCTCTGATAACAAGAGCGCATGAGCAGAACGCGTCATCTCCGTCTGGCTGCACATTCCGATTCACACTCCATTCCAGTAGTTGGCCGTAATGCCCCTCCGGAAGTTGCTTGCCAACCAACACAAAACGAAAAAGAAGAACAACTATAAGCAACAATCGAAATCTTCTCCACGCAACATTTTGATTTGCTTGATTCCCTCCTTCTTCGTCTTCTTCTTCTTGTGTTTTATGGCGGTTGACAAACAGGAGCGAGGAACCGAGATAGCGGGATATGTAAAAGGTCGTCAGAACCAAGCTTAGCCTGGTTAACTGATCCCAGCTTGGACCGGTCTCGGCATGAATCGGTTTTTTAAGGGTAGTGCAAATGGGGTATTAGATGAAAACACAGACGCTTGGCGGGGGTGCGGGTGAAATGGAGTTCTTTCTGTAAAATTGACGGACCGTAGTAGCCATGTGTTGCTCTGCCATGTCTTTGTCCAAATACGTTGCTGCTTTTCCTTTTTAGGGCTTTCAGCACAAAGTTGCACAAATTGCCAAGGCAGCGTGTTTCACTCTAGTGAGCTTCATATTTCTCTTTTACTCGTTTGGCTTCCGGATAGACGAGTCCGACGTGGTTTTTAAGGCGTACAGTGTGAGCAGGTAGATCGCATCAAAGCGTCATGCTGCACATACATCGTGAGCTGTGAACTCGCACTGTAAGATGAAACCGCAGGGTTTCTTCATACAGTGAGGGCAGCAGGTACGTGCCACGGGTCTTTTCAATGCTAATGGTCACATCTTGATATATTCTGGGTTTAATAATGGAGAGTTTCAGCCATTTGCTACATTCTGTATTATTAAGTTTCGGGCTTCTGGATTCAGCACAGAGGTCCTGAATTGCTTTCCTCTCCCTGATAATGTTCTTACTTTGATCTCCTAAAAGGGTCAAGGAAAAGGAGCTAGGAGCTACATTTGTATTTGGATGAATTTAAGATCTTGCTGGAGGAACTCCATATCCCAAATACCCAGAGCTATTGCTGCGTGAGACACTTTTATAACCTTTACCCAGTTTGTCAACAATGTTTGACTCAGGATGACTCAGGATGCTGCATTTTGGCAGGGAGTAGATTTTATGATGCCAACATAAGTCCGAGTTTATATAACTTCCCCGGTGTACCAATTATTTTAACTCTTTCAATACAATTTTTTATCAGGCAGACATCTGTATAATAAATTTCAACAATCTATGTTAACATTTAAAGTTTTTCCTTGAATAAACTTGGTGTGTCATTATTTTCAATAAACGCATTTTCATTTTCATTTATTGTTTATTTGAAAGGGGACAGTGTACATTAATCAACATTAAAACAATGTAAATATACCCGAGTTAGCTAATGAGTGCTAATTTTCATCGGTAGTCCCCCAGCCAGGTATAAAAAAGGCAACCTTAAAAATAGTGCATAGCATGTGGCCCCCACAGGAAAGGAAGCATTTTTCTAGTGTGTTGCAGTCATTCAAAATATTTTTGGGTTATTACAGTAATAGATATAGATTAACAGATACAGCATCCTTAATTGTTAGAGATTATAGAAACTAGACATTTTCTTTCCACTAAGCTTTCCCTGAATGTGCTGAGATCAAGGTTCACCAACGTGATGCCCTCGAGCACCAAGGGGCCCCCAAAGACCACATGGGGTGCCCTCAGGATCTTCTGAAAACAGAAAAGCTAACCAGTCGACTAAGTTTTAAATTACATTTTATGCTGCTCCTCCCGGCAATCAACTTGTTTTCCTTAGATGTAAAACTTTGCATCAATTTGACTGGATGATCTGGTTGAAATGTCTCAGTAAAGTTCCTTGAGATGACATTTGTTGTGAATTGGCACTATATGATTAAACTGAAATGAATTGAATTTTTTTTAATCATTTATAGAGCATTTCATCATATCAATAATGTAGAACAGTTAACAATTTATAGGGATTTCAAAATGACAATATCTAAAAGCATACTAGAAATTAAAGAAACAACAGAAATATGTTTATTATCTATGAAGGTTGGGTGAATGCTCACTTCTCCAGTTCATAGTTCAATATTGGTAAACCTCTTATGACTCAGTGCCCATGACGTAGCCCTCAGTCTTAAAAAGGTTGGTGACCCTTCGCTTAGATGAAGAGCAGCCGACCTTTTAGGGTTACCCTCCTTTATTTTTCTTTATTGTATAGTCCATAACATTTTTTTTCTTTTTGATTAAAAATTAGCTTGAATTCCAAGTGTGACTTAAACCGTTCTAGTTAAGTAGATAAAACTGGATGGATATGGTAATTTATGTCCCTTAAGGTGCATCTGCTTGCAAGTTTAAGACCCACATCTGTCTGTCCTGTTGGAAACCTGCTTGGTCAACGGTTGTATTTAAAGCAGAAACACAGATAACTCATTCAAATATGATCCCTCTATTTCCCCAAATCTGCAGGAGCCGCGATGACAGGAGGCGGGACGAGCGCAAGCGGCGTGACTTCGAGCGGCATGGGAATAGAGATCGCCACGAGCGGCGCAGAGGAAGCCCCCGTGGGAGGAGCTACAGCCGGAGCCGCAGCAGGAGCCGCAGCGGCAGCCGAGGAAAGAGCCGAGATGGGGAGCACAGAGGAGGCAGAGGTGAGAGAGAGAAGTAATAAAAGCACAGGGGACCAGACCCAGGTGTGCAGGTGCTTTGTAGCTCTGCATTCATGATGTAGTAGAGCTGCTAGGAACATCCTGGACCTGAGTGGATTTTGATTGTTTAGCGAAAATTGATTGAAGTGCTGAATGTAGCTAATTGGATTGTTGAGAGATAACAGGACAATGTGGACAGCTCTGCAGCCACATCATTGGGGATTCAACATGGGTTGGAATTGGATTAATTACCCGCAAGGTTAATCTGCATGTTTAAAGAAGTTTTTGATTTTTAATTCCTCAGTAGTAGATTATGTTTATTGTAATGTTATTTCAAAAGTTGTCTACCTAATGTTTCTAACAGAGTTCAAGTCCAAGTTTGAGGTGGAAAGAAAGGATACAGACGGATACAACGCCTCCATTACATCCGGCCCACAGCAGCAACAACAGCAGCAGCAGCAGCAGCTTCCACCGCCTCTCCTGCCCCTTCCTACCCCTCCACACCCCTTCTCCTCTGCTTCTTCATCCGCCGGGGTCTCAGGAGCCGGAGGGGTTCCTATAGTGACACCGGCCCACCTGCCTGACAGCACTACAGACAGCTGGTCCATCTACTACAGCGCCCAGAGGCAGGATGGCATCGGGAAGCCCTTCAGCAGCAAGAATACTCATCTAAAGCAGCGATGCAGGGATTATGATGGTAGGAGTTGTTTATGTTTTTTTGTAAAAAGAGGGAACACTGTAAAACTTTTTTTAAATGCCTAATAATTTAGCATCATGTGTAGTTGCTGTTTTGTTTTCCCTCAGAGGCCCTTGTTGGACCTCTTTACTAATGACCACTGTTCCCAATCAGTCCTTTGTCCCCAGTGAAGGTGGCAAAGCACTAGGCTTTCTCTGCATAGACACTAGAGAGTTTAAACTTAACCCCTGTCCCTGAAGCGCACTGCTGTCACAGTACTCAAACAGCCACTGGAGACTCAGTGTTCTAATGAGGCTGTGGGATAAATGTACACTGGGCGTGTTAAACATGTATTCCTCTTTAGTTATATTTCATCTTTTTAACTGGGAGGTTTTAATACTGTTGTGGTAGATTTTAATGACTGGATGGATAAAGTGATGTACTATATGTTTTGGTCACTCTTGCTTAAACAGAAAAAGGATTCTGTGTCCGTGGAGACCTTTGCCCCTTCGATCACGGCAACGACCCTCTCATCGTCGACGACGTCACCCTGCCCAAGATGATTCCTTTCCCTCCTCCTCCCGTCATGCCTCCTGCCGGTTTGCCTATGCCCCCGATCACTGAGCCGCCCCCCTCGCTCAGGTTACCTGTGATGCCCCCCTACCCCCAGCCACCGCCACCAGGTGTCTTCCCTATGACAGGTGAGTTTTAGTGAAAGTTGAAGGTCGCAGTGTGTGTGTTTCATTTTCCTCCCAGAAAAAGTTTTCAGAGCTCTAATATTTGGTCCCCTTTTGTTACATTTCCAGAATTGTCTATTAACATTTTTTTATTACAGTTAAATTATACGTTTTCTTAAAAGTTCAGACTCTCTCACATCTGAGACATTAGCTTTGGCTTTTGTCTTCCCCAGGACCCCCACTGATAGCTACCAGTGGGATCGATACCCCCAACCATCAATCTGCAATCACTTCTTCTCCCCCCATTGGACCACCCGGAGTGGGGCTCCCACCTACTCTTCCTCCTCCTCCTCCTCCTGTTCCTCCTCAGCCTCCCTCCTCGTCCTCATCTGTGTCTCTGAGGCCCCAATATGTCCAGTCTGAATGTAAGCAGAAATGCTTCTCCTATTCAGATCAGGACTGGGTGGCTTTTTGTTTCAGTTTCCCTTCTTTATCTCTCCTTTATTTCCATTTGGTAACTTTTCTTAACATACAATAGATTTTTATTGCATAAAAATAATTTGTTTTTCTGTCGTGTATGAAGGCATCTTGGTTGTTGGGTGTTTTTTTTTTTGTTTTTTTTCCTGTTGCTGTTTTTTTTGTTTTTTGTTTTTTAATCATTGTAGTAACCACTGTTGGCCATGGGGTAGTGCTGTTTATTCATCTGAAAGACAAATGCCCTATTCTTATTACCAGGTGCTTTGCTGGTTCCATATTTCAGATTAATAATAAAAAATTTTCCCATTTGAACTTTTTGGCCATTAGAAGGTTTTTATTTTAACCCTTTAAATTGAACTAATTAATGTTTTTGTATTCTAATGAATATTATTTTTGACTTTATATATAGGTTATTCTTTTGAAGTTTGGGCATATATGAATTTCAAAGTTTTACCCTTGAAAATAGAATTTTACTCTGATGCATGTTGTTGCAGGTTTTAGTATTTAGTATATATATTTGACTCTTTTATTGCTCGATTTTGTAAATTTGTGTTTTATTCATTTTAGATAACTATGATCCAGAAGGCTACAACCCAGAATCCCCGGGACTGACTGGTGCAGGCCGTAATTCTTATCGCCAGTTTATCCCCAGAGTCCAAAGCCAACGCTCTAACCTCATTGGTCTCACTTCTAGTGAAGGACAAGTTTGCAGAGGTAACAACCGTTTCCGCTCCAGGATCAGTGACCAATAAGAGACACAGACAGTTTTTTAGCTGTTCTTTGTAGATTAAAATAAAAATGTGTTAACTTAATTGATGGAGCATAATACTACACCGAATTTTAAAGGAAAAAAAATCATCATTTGAGATTTTTATTAAGGAAATTGTTTTAGAATCTCTTAAAACACCCTTTGAAGTAAATGTAACTTTTTTTTTTTTTTTTTTTTCAAATTGATCAAGGATTTGGATTTGGATCAATTTATGGATGGTTAGTTGCGTGCCTATTTCTCTGGTGTATAAATGTATTCCAGTGGGTTTAGTTTGAAACAAACTGAAAAAATTAATATAGATGGAAACTACCTCATGCTCTGGGGGCTGTTTCTCATCCAAAGGACCTGTTGTTTTCAACTAAAAGTTGGGAAACTGGAAATTTTTATAATCACTTATTGTTTATCTAAAACGTTTGACACACTTAAAATAAAACTAAGCTTATTCCATGGTGTTCCAGGAGCTTTTCCTATTAATACTATGAAAAAGTTCTTGTTTTAAGACATGTTACACGCTGTTACCATATGTAAAGACTCTACTTATTAGACACGGAAGAAAAATCACTTGCAGTTAATGCAATCAGTTATCAGTTTTTAACTGATTATGTCCTGTATTTTATTTTTTCTTCTAGCTGCCAACATAGTGATCCAGACAGAGCCTGAAACAGCATCCAGCTCTCCTAGAAATAACATGTCTCGTTTCAACGCTGAACAGGACATCAGGAAGAGGACAATGGGAGCCAGTGCAGCTGAGTACCCAGCAGCTAAAAAGCCCTGGATGGAGAAGTAAGGAGGCAAAGATGATCTAAAAAAAACAAATACCAAATAAGATTTAGATTAATACAAATCAAACTGAAGTGGTTCTTTGTTAATCCAGAAAGTCGTAGGGTTTTTTTTTTTTTTTGTTATTGTGCAGACATTTGGTTAAATGGCTCAGATGCAATTTGATTAAAGTCTTGCATCATTTATAGTTCGGTTGCTTATAGGGCTGGGTACCGAACATCAGTTCTTTTATCGTACCGACCGAAATGCTTCGGTTCTACAGAGTATCGAAACATGCCTCGTCTTTCAGTGCCAAGTTTCGGTGATTGGCTGTAACACCTAACGTGATTGTGCCATCAAGGAAAAATACATAGGTGGTCACGCCTACAGCCAGGGTTCATGTGTATCTGTTGTGAACTGGTTGCGAGCGTCGTGGAACCCCTTTAAAATTCCCCCCAGGTCAAAAGTGTGGCTTCACTTTATTAAGACTGATGCCAATAGTGCACAATGCAATAGAACGGAAACAATTTAAGAGCAGAAAGTTGCTCTGTGTTTGACTGCAAGAAGAGCGGACCGCAGCCAGCGCAACCATCCTCCTCTCAGCAGCCCGTGGGCAGAGCAAAGCCAGAGCGGAGTGAATAATGCTGCTTTCACACCAGACGCAGCAGTAGCAACAAAATCACGTCTGCTGCTTCATTTTTGCTGCTTGTACCAATTAGTTCTGACGCGCTGCTGAAGCAGCTTTGCTGCTCTGGCTGCGCGGTCAAAAAGCGGCTCTGACGCGCGTTGGGCGGAGCTACTCTATCCTTTATTTGCCTTGCAGCCATATTTGCTGTGAACAGTGGGAATAAAGTCGTTTTATTATGTTTTTAAGTGGGAATATCCACCTGAAACTTTAATCAGTGCAGTCAGTTAATCCAGAGTACTATCCTGCCTTCCAATATTATTTCTGTCTGAGCCACTCAGACCCCACATACCAGCGGTGAGCTGTCAGTAGGATTCCCATTCAACGGGCTTGTTTGTCTCCTGAGAAAGCAGACATGTTAATCTTTCTAAAGAAAAACTGCCAAGTAAAAAGGTCCTCACAATGTAACAGTGAATATTAGACACGGACTTGTTTGCAACTGTTCTTCTTCACTGAAAAAAATTTTTTTTATGTAAGAGGAAAAATGTAAATGGTAAAAAACAGAGCTTAAAATAAAACTCAAGATTTGTACTTTATTATGTTGTGTAATTTTCTTTTTCTTCTAATTGATTTTATAAAACTGGTATCGAAAAAAGTGTCGTTCAGGAACCGGTATCGAAGTGAAGGTATCAGTATTGGTACCGGCACCGAAAATTTTTGAACAATACCCAGCCCTAGTTGCTTAAATCCTTGTTGGCTTATTAGATGCCTCTCCTTTGCCTAGAAGTTTTCTGTCTAACATGCATGTCAATGTTCATATGACATCTTCTCTCATTTCAGACCAAACTTTATCGGTCAAGATAAAAATGTTTTTCCAAAGAGGAACCACTATGTGAACACGAAGCTGGAGGTGCGCAAGATCCCACGGGAACTAAATAACATCACGAAGCTCAATGAGCATTTTAGCAAGTTTGGAACAATCGTCAACATACAGGTGAAGTATTTCCTTTTTGAGGAGCATCTGTTAAAGCCGGGCATACAGTGCGATTTATTTATTTTTATGTTTTTATCGTGGCACGCTGCTGCTGCTCACGCTGTATGACGAAACCCTGCAGTTTCATCGTACAGTGCAAGTTCACAGCTCACAATGTATGTGCAGCACGGCGCTCTCATGCGATCTACCTGCTCACACTGTACGCCTATAAACCACGTCAGATTCAGCTCCGCAGTGAGATAGAGCTACTCTGACTCTTCTATCCAGAAGCCAAACAAATAGAAGAGGAATATGAAGCTAGAGTGAACCGCGCTGCCTTGGCAATTTGTGTAATTTTGTGTGCTGAAAACCCTAAAAAGAAAAGGCAATGAAGTATTTGGACAAAGACATGGCTGAGCAAACATGGCTACTATGGTCCGTCAATTTTACAGAAAGAACTCAATTTCACTCAGGCACCTCACGATTCCTGATCGGAAGGTGGTCTTGAGAGACTGATCGCCCCTCGTTACTCCCTGTACACTACAAGACGCACGATCAGGCTGAAAGTTGGCCCGATCGGAAAATTGTCGCACGACTGGAAAGTCGCCCCGAAAAGGACAGAAAATCTCACAGTGTAAGCCCGGCTTAATGGAAGGCGAATGTAATTGGAGCATCAGCTAACCAGCTCACTTCTTCGCTCCACCCAGGTGGTGTTTGGTGGCGACCCGGAGGCAGCGCTGATCCAATACACAAAGAATGAGGAGGCCAGACGGGCCATATCCAGCACACAGGCCGTCCTCAACAACCGCTTCATCCGTGTGTACTGGCACCGCGAGCCCTGCACCAACACTGCGGGTCAAGAGCAGAACCCAGGGACACAGGGGCCAGCGTCGGCCCCGGGCCAAGGCCTGCAGCACGGCAACATGCATAAGGTTTGTGTGAAGACTTCAGAATCAGACAAAATTTGGATTTTCCAAGAGAAGATTTAATTTTTTTTATGTTACAAAAGCCCAATGGAAAGAATGAGACACAGCTATAGAAATGAAATAGATGTTGGGACAAAAATCGATTCATTTCTAATAAGGTTTTATTTAGTTATTTTATGTTTTAATGAACCAGCTATTGTTAAAACAGGATTTTACTATTTTTACTGTCTCAAGCCTTTTTTAAGTTTGCATAAAAACTGCACTTTCACCCTGGAGAGTGTAAAACCTTATCTTTACTCAGAGATTTCCAAAATGCAGCTAGCATTACCTGGAAGCTCTATGCCTGGCAGAGTGAGAATGAACCTCAGATATCTCATTTTTTTTTCAACAGAATATGTTCCTTTTTAAATAGCTGTGCTAAGTAATGATGAGAAGATGATGTTTCTTTAGGCTCTATGGCTTTTGTTCCTGCTTTACTTGGAAAAAGTGTCAGTTTCTGTTCTTCAGCCAATCTAATAACAGAGACACCTGGTGGCTAACAGTAGCCATAGCAATCTATCAAATTTTTTTGTGTTGGCACCGTTTCACTTCAAGAATGCCGTTTCTTCAGCTCAGTAATGCTTTTAAATTCATGGTTTAAATATCATAGAGTTGAGTTTCCAAGCTGCCACTCAAATCACATCAGCAATTTCCTGCTGATCAAGATAATAATCAGTATTGGGCTCCAACTTAATTTCTCTTGGTAATCTGATACATTTCTCATTTCAATTACTCTCTTCCTTACGTGTTCTCTCTCTTGTCTGTCCTTTTTATGTTTTGGGTTGTTTTTTTGGTTTTGGTTTGCTGCAGGGGATCAAACAACACAGTCCAGGTGCCTACGTACTGAACAACACTGTACCAAAGCATCCCCTGATTGCAGCACCTGGAACCACAAATGTCATAAAGAGCGATGGCCTGAATCCAAACTCAGACCCTCTCATTGTACGCTTTTATTCTTCCTTATGTGTTCAGAAGTGTTATTATATGTTTTTGAAAATTAACTAGTTATGCAGTTTTAATAATGTGCTGAATCATACTGGTTCTCTGCAACACATGCAGATATCATGAAGGTTTCCATTCCTGAAATCAAATTGGCAGTGGTCACACCAGGGAATGTGATGGAGATTAGGGAATGGTTAACCCTAACCCTTTTTCAGGAAGCTCAGGGGCTTTTTGGGGGAAGTTATGGCCTAGTGGGTTAAAGCAGTGTGCTTGTGTTCTGAGAGGGTTGCAAGTACCCATTTGGATCCCCACAGCCTCCACTTTGGGTTCCTGAGCAAGACCCTTAACCTCTGATTGCTCCCTGGGCGCCACACAATGGCAGCCCGCTGCTCCCCAAGGGGATGGGTTAAATGCAGAGGTAAATTTCTCCAATGAGAGATCAATAAAGTTTGATTATTGTTATTATTTGCTTTAAGGCTAAAAAGTAAGGGATTTAGATTAAACTGCGTGCCAACCTAGTTTTGCAAGAAAACCATTCTAGTTTTTACACTGTTTTTTTGTTTTTTTGCTGTAATCCTGTTTCAGTTACATGGATGTGTGTTTATTTTCTGTTTTTAGGTTCCCCCTAACACACAGAAAGGTCCCTTCCCCGCTACAGCCCCCAAATCTTCCTCAAAGAGTCTCGGGAAAACTGGAAAAGCGCTAGAAGCTCAAGAAGCTATGAAAAAGAAGCAGGTAAGTTTGCTCATGAATCATTTTTGGGTTTTTTTTTTTTTCTTGATTTGCTTGCATATTGTATAAGAAACATACAAGTAAATATTTTGTTCTCGTGAAACAAAATATGTACTTATGGCAAAAGGGTGTGCTAAGTACTTTTTTTCTGCTGTAGGAGGCAATGAAACTCCAACAGGACATGAGGAAGAAGAAACAGGAGATGCTGAAGGCACAGATCGATTGTCAGAAAGTAACTGCCCCCCTTTATTTCCTCCACTGTTCTTTGACGTGAAATTTGTTTAAATGTTTTCTACGCTTGTTTAAACACACCTAATTTAATGTCACTGATCTTCCTTCAGGTGCTGATTAACCGCTTGGAGAAAAACCGTACTATGAAGCCTGAGGAGCGGGCCAACATCATGAAAACCCTGAAGGAGCTAACGGAGAAGATAACGCAGCTGCAGAATGAAATGAACCCCTCCCCTCAGGTCTCAAGTGGCAAAACTCCTCACAACCAACCAAAGACCAAAACTGATGTAGGTTTTTATGTTAAGGTTTTAAAGTAATAAGTTGGTGGACTTTCATAGCTGCAAGCTTTTTATTCTTGTTAAACTTCTTCTAATATCTGGGTTTCATGTCCCTGGACCTCAGGGGCCCTAAGTCCTTCATGTTTTAGATGCGTCTCTACTTAAGCACACCTGATTCAAATAATTGTATTACCTCCTCAGTAGCCATTGAATGCTGTAAAAGTCTGTTGATCACTTTTTCATTCTGGACAGGTGTGCGTAGGCAAGAAAACGTCTAAAACATGTTTTGCTGAAGATCTGGGTCTAAAGAAACCCTGTGTTAAATGACTTGATCATTGAAATGTTATTTTATTTTTATAAACATTTTTTTGTATTTGTTATGGTTTTCTTGTCAGGCCCAGAAAGAGTTGCTTGATGCTGAATTAGACTTTCATAAAAAGATGAGCTCTGGAGAAGACACCACAGACCTTAAGAGAAAACTTGGACAGCTACAGGTGGAGGTAAGAAAAAAAAACACATTTTAACTCTCGGATTGTTGGCAGAGATCAACCTTAAAACATTATTATAAAAGTTTATATACTAATCCGAACAGCTGGTGAGTGTTTCCCATACAGGAGAACAAACAAACACCGATAACATCAAATATTATCAGCATTTATATTTTACAAGCTGAAATTGAGGATGTGATACTTTGAATTGTCGGAGGAAGTTTGCAGATGAGGTTATTTTCTTGCCGCCTTCTGCTCATGCAGCAAAGAAATTAAACATGCAGCAAGATGTAGCAAATGATTAAAGAAATATCTTCATGTGAAAGTTATAATGAAATATTGTGCAGAAAGTTAAAGGAAAGGAGTGACCTAAAAACGGCATCTGCTTTAAAAGCCGTTACAGGGAACTGCAAAAGTAACTTGATTAGAATAGAAATCCTGAGCATATTGATGCGCACAAATTTTGTTTTTTCTTTTTTTTTTCACACAAGAGCAATTGGTCTCCATGGCTCCAATTGAGCTGTTTAGCATCAATAAATTAATCATCGCAGTGTGTTTTAAAAAAACCTTGTTTCAGTCAGTACTGTGAGTTTGACTAATAGCTTAAGGAAGGGGTGCTCAAGTCCAGTCCTCAAGAGCTACCATCCTGTAACTTTCAGATGCATCTCTTCTCTAACACACCTGAATCGAAAGGCTCAATACTCTCATTTAGCTCAGCAGAGGCATGTAATGAACCACTCATTTGACTCAGGTGTGTTAAAAATGGGGTGCATCAAGTTGCAGGATAGTAGCTCTTGAGGACTGGACTTGAGCACCCCTGCCTTAAGGGAACAAAAGGAGAAAGGTTAAACCTACCGATGACACTCTGGCCACTTTGAGATCTCATTGTTTAATGTTATATTGAATGTGTTTTGCCTATTAGTAAAAATGTTGGAGGCTTATTTTAGACCGCAGACTAGAGGCACTCAATAAGTGGGGGCTACTATATGCTCTACAGGGCTAGGAAAAAACATTCTTTTTAATCTGACTGTTTTATATCAGTCAAGTAAAATTCACCTATTCTTAGTAATGGCTTTACCTGCAACACTTTTTTTTTGTTCTGTAAAATCTGAAATTTACCAACATTTTCTTCTTTCATGGAAATGCCTCTTAAACTGTATTATCTTAGTCTAATGTGTCAAATATTTCTCAGCCTCTAAGGTTCCCCATCTTTTTTTTTCTTTGTGAACATAGCAGTTATGTCGAAACATTTAAATTTTAGCCTTGACACTCCTCAGAACATGTCTCAAAGATGAAAGCATCAGTCTTTTTCAAACTGAAATCAGTTTTCTATGTTGTAGTTGGGGTGATCTCTCAGGCCCACACCAAACAAATTCATAATAATAATATAAAGAGTAAATTTAACATATGTTTCAGTTTTCATCTTTCAAATTTTACATATTTATTTTAATGGTATTATTGTCATCATTCCTTCTGATCACATAAACCCTGACCATGAAAATCAAGTCTACAATCTAAATGTATCGAAAATATGGACTCTAATGGGTGGAGCCCCGAAAGTCAACATAACCCCACACTTAAAGCACCACACTTGCATATTTCCTGCTCTATCCCAGGGGTCCTTAATTAGCTGTTTTTTTTAAAAATGCATATCCTCTGCCCCCAAACCCGCCTCATCTATTCAAGCCCAAACGTCCTTCTGCGCATTAAACCGAAGCCACTTAAGCAAGCCCAGAGGAGTAGCCACTAACGAAGCCAAATCAGACACAAGTCCTTACACTGATGCTGCCCTGTCTCATTAAAGTTTGAGGTGCTGGTCCGTGTAAGGAAATCACAGAATGACAATTAAAGGCCTAAGTGAGGCAGGGACAAATGGTGAAGAGAGTAGGCTGTTAGCTTGTTGAGTGATGAAGAAGAGAGATGTCCTGTTAAAAATGGAGGAAGAACAGCATATGCTGTGGTGGGAGAGGTGAACATATTTGGTCCCTTGTAGAATTATTTATACCCACAGAGGTTTTCAAAATCTTCTTGCATTACAGCCACAACCTTAAAGGCACACGTGTAACTTTTGGCCACCAGGGGTGCTTGACCTGTAACTGCCAGTATTTTGCTTCAACTAAACATTGAAAATAAAAACAAAGATATATGAAGTGAATGTATACTAGGAGCAAAGTGTTAACTTACCAGTCTAATAATAAAGTTGAGAAAAGAGAATTGATTTCACATCCGGCTTCTTTCAGCTTGCACCAACGAACAATCTCCTTTCCATTCGACTCTTTTTCTCGTGCACGATATCTTTCACATTTCTCTTTTCAGCCTCCTTAGATGGTTTAAACTTTTTCCTTGCCTCAGCCATGACTAGTAGTTGGGCAGGCGGAAAAATAGTAGTGCAAAAGCCTTAGCTCCATGAAGAAATAGGAGCCTACAGCCATAAAGGGATAAGTTCTTCCAGGTCACATGCACTGGTCAACGACTGTAGCTTAAATAGTGAGTATTTCAAGAGGGGGAGCCCCACTTGTAGCAGCAAACGCTGTATATTTGCCTGAGGAATCATTTAAAATAACTCATGTGCCACAACTCTTTAGGTCACAGAGTCCATAGTATGCCTTTAAACACATTTTCTTGGACATTCCTTTGAGAGAACAGAAATAGGTGCCCAGATGTGAAGTGGAATCAAAGTTAAACATGGGTTCAAACGTTTTTATGAAGAGAAATCTGAAGACGGTGAGGTGTCGCATGTCCAACCAGCAGCTAACTTTGCTTTGCTCAGACACTGTCCATCCAGTCAGTGTTCACCCTTTTTTTGATTCTGCCACAGACTCTTATTAAGATTTAGATCATGACTTTTGGCTACTTATTTCAAACTGAGCCCTTTCCCTGTAGCACTGTCCATCTTTAAGGTGTTTGGATATGATCCTATTTGCCAGTCTGCGGTCTTTAAACTTCTCAGATTCTTTAACCCCTGATCTTTCTGATGTTTTTAATTTGTTTTTATTTTATTAAGCGTTAGATCTTTTGATCCTATTCAGAAAGTAAAGTTTTAAAATAAGAGTTGGCATTTGAAAATAAGCATGCAACTAATGTGAAAAAAGATTCGAAAAACATCCATAAAGAAATAAGATCCCATGGTAAATGGTCAGACGACTCCAAAGCGCTCTACACTACATTTAGTTATTCACCCAATCGCACACTAATAGTGGCTACATAGTAGCCACAGTTGCCATGGGGCTCACTAACTGCCCTGCGTGCCCTCTGACCTCCATCAGTATGCAAGGTGGGAGACATGTTTTTGGGATACAACGTCTCAGAACTGAGGTTTACTTTGTGACTTGGAAAAAAAATCAGCAACCAAGCATTTTATGTCATTTCTTTAGGCAAAACGACTTGGTCTGATCCCACCGACGGGTCGGGGCCGAGGCCGCGGGAAGATGGCGCTTGATCCCGGCGCGATACACATGGGGCGTGGCAGGAGCCGAAGCCGGGAGATGATGGCTCGCGGAGGGGTTGTGAACCGCATGGTTGTGGACCACAGAACCAGAACGCTTGCCATTTTAGGAGTCACACAGGAGGAAAAGGAAGAGCTAATGCCGCATTTTGTGGTGTGAACATACAGATTGTTATACATAATTATTAGCAGGAGTTTTATATGTCTGTCGTGTTAAGATTTTCTGTCTCTTTTAGAAATTTGGTGAAATCGAAGAACTGCGTGACCAAGATGCCAACACAGTCATCATGACTTTTAAGACGCGAGGCGAAGCAGAGAATGTATGTTTCATGCTCCAAAGCAGCTCAGGCTCTTACCTTCTTGTTCTTTGAATAATCCTTATGTTTTGTATTTTAGGCAGCCAATCAGGGAGCCAAGTTCAAAGGTCGTGTTCTTCAGATTTCTTGGTACAAGCCCAAGACGTCGTCTGTCACGTCCGAGCCTGAGGTGGAAGAGGCTAAAGATGAGGAGAAGGTGAGGAGGAGTCGCATCATACAGTTTATTCAGAGAAAGTCTTATTCACTGAGAATTTTTAGAATTAAAAAAAGTCTGTTGGTGAACTTTTCTGAAGTCCTAATTTTAGTTTTCATCAGTTCTACTTGTACATTTCTAGTGCTTCTGAATTTTTCACCGCTGCTCCCAATGCAAAGTCAGGCGTAGCCTCTCTGTGCTAAGAGCATTTCAGCCTCTTGAGTAAAGCAGCATTCAGATTAGCTGGAATCCTACTACTGTAGGGTTTTTTTTTTTTTTAGGTGTAAGTACCTTAAATATTTAGTTTTTTAAGGTTAAGATTTTTATCCTTTTGGTCAAGGCTAGTTTGTTTTTTTTCACTTGGACTACTTCTGCTGATCAACTCATAGTAACTAGAGATCTATCAGTTCTTTAAATCCTGTTTCATTGGATTTTGAGCTTGTTCTACATAAACCTGTTAAAAAATTAAAACAATTCAGCTGTTTCAACTGTAAAGTGCCTCACAATTGCATAAATCACAACCAATGTGGCACAAAGAGGAGCTGAATGTTAGAGCTACAGTTTGGTACGGAGCGTAAACCCTGAAGTCAGAGGTACAAATACGAGTTCTATAGGAGGGTATGTGATGAAAAGATGGTTGGTAGTAATTTTGTGAGAGAGAGGCCTAATGGAGAGAACAGAGACTTATCAGACTGGCATTCTAACTAATATTTAAAAGCTTTCTGAGATAAGTGAAGTGTGCCTGTATTCCAGCACAGTGGTCAGTGATCGGTTGTGACAAAAAGCTCTGATTCTGATAGGGCTGTGGGATAAAAATCGTTTTGGCGATATATCGTGATTTTCGGCTGCCAAATATAATATCGAGTTTTCAGTTCCTAGTATCGATTGTAAAATATTTCACCTAAAATAATGAGGGGAAAATGGGCTAAGTACGCACCACCACTGTGGTATATACAGGGTTCCCGCGGATCCTTAAAAGGCATTGAATTCTTCAAAATAAAACTAAGGCCTTAATTGGTATTAATATGTCTTAAATCAGTCTTTCATAGGTCTTAATTTTTAAAACATCATAAATAGGATTATTTTTATTATGATTTATTTTTGTAATCTAAATAAAACATTAAAATTGACAATTTTTTTTATTTAAAAAAATAACGGCTCCTGATAGCAGAACCAATAAAAGCGTTGTTGCGGCCGGGACATTTGTGAGATGCGCCATTAACTTTTTGTCTGGAAAATATGAGCAAGTGAAAATGTAACGAAAATTTTCTCCAGCCAAGAGTTTTCTCCATGGCTAAAACCAGGGAACATACATGAGGCACAGTGTATTTTGTGCAAGAAGTCATTCAAGCTCGGAACGATGGGAATTAAGGCAGTGGAGTCGAACATGCGAAGCACGAAACACAAAGCGTCAAAATGGAGTTACTGAGAACCAGCCGGTATTTCTCAGTTTTGTTCCACCCTTGTCTCTGCAACGCCTCCACTTATCACCAAATCAAACATACTAAGAAAACGATACAAAGAAAAATAGCTGCAAAAAAGACTTAGCACTGGTTATGTTGTGGCTTTAAAACTGATTTGTTTTGCTCCCTGCTAAAACAAAGTTTGTGAATTCAGTTAAATAATTGTTAAAATATATCTGTCATTTGTGTGTTTTTAGCTTTCTTCCTGTATTGGAAGCTTTTCAAAATTTGAAACATTAGTGCAGTGGTTTATGTTAAAATAAACCTTTGGGTTAAGGTTAAGTTAAGTTGTTGCAAGCGGGTTTTTCTTGTGAATTTGGTCTTAAATTTTTATTTCAACTGGTATTAAAAACTCTTAAAAACTCTTGAATTTAACTTGCCTTATGCTGTAGGAACCCTGTATATAGCACCATGGAGTCCTTGCTGTTAGGGACAGCACTATATCTGTAGTTCAGGCAGTCACAGTGGAAGACGGGGACTCACTACAACCCCAAACATGGATACCAAAATGACTAAATTACCAATATCTTCTGATGCACATATACAGCACTTGTTGTTTTATCTATACATGTAATTTTGATAGTTGTAGCAGCCATTCAAAATGGCCCTTCCCAGTCAAATGCCAACCGAATGGCAGCCAACTTCCAGCCCCTGGAGTGTCCCTTTCCTTCTCCTGGAAATGCATATTTTTGTACTTTGACTCAAACCTTTCACTGAATTACAGGGTCTGACCAGGAGATGACGCCTCTCTTTAGATCTTAATGTCCACAAATCATGACAAAAAGAATATTTTACCACAAAGATTGATGTTTAAAAATTAATTGTAGGGGACCAGCCAAGGGCCCATCAAGGAAAGTGGGGACATTTTGAATGGCTACTGCTGTGGTGATATTGCAATATTGTGATAATATCGTATCGTGACCCAAGAATTGGGACATGTATCGTAACACCCACCCCTAGATCCCCATAAGAGAAATCTTGCAGCAAGTAGAGGTTTGTCATCTCTGCTGTGGTTCTGTTGTACGCGAGCAGTTTAGACAAAAGCTAATATTAGCTTTGGTCAGTCAATGCCGCCTTAAAGTTTCTCAAACCAGATCTTTCAACATTTGCCCCAGTCAAGAAATCAAGGCTCCCTTCAGACCAGGGCTGCAACTAAGTGTTATTATATTGATTATTTTTTAGATTAATCAATTAATAATCAGATTGCCAAAGGTGCCTTAAAGAAGACTTTTTACTTAATTAAATCAGGTGAAACTAAAGAGCTTCCACTGGAGGAATTCTTGTTAGAGCAAGATTTTTCATCTTAAATGCAACATTTTATATTTTTATTTTACAATTTTGTTATATTTGCTGGTTTAAGTGGGTCACTCTGTTAGATAAAAGCATATTTTGCAGTCTCTATAGTCCATTAAACGATTAATCTAATACCAAATTAGTTAAAGATTATTTCACTAATTGATTAATATGATTAATTGTTTCAGCCCTACGTCAGATATACGTTCTTGGCTCGCTATCAGAGCGGCACTGCTAACTAAAGCCATAATAAAACCTCTTCTGAGTTAACTTCCAACACCTATCCCCCCCTATTTTTCCCCCTGCCCTCATTGAATCTACATGGATCCTGTGGGTGACTTTTTTGAGATTTCAAACGGTGAGTTTAGCTGAAAGATGTGGGATTTTCACGTCTGTACCTGAGAAACTTCCTGCTCAGAAGCGGTCACATGAACTGGGTTAGTTATTTCTGCCTCAACCTCAGGTTGTCTTCATCACCCATACATGTTAAATGTCTTCCTGTTGCAGAAAGGCTTTTTGATGTCAGAATAACTTTGTAGATGTCCAAACTACTTATTAGCTTTAAAAAAGAATATAAGTTTAATGTGATAATTGAAAGATTTGTAGATTATCCGGCTCATTAGGACTTTGATAGCTGCCGTGAAAATGTTCTTTATTTCTATAACAAATTTTAATTATTCATGCTGAGTTTCAAAGGAAGAAAAGCACAAACTGCTACGCCTGGTTTGTATATAGCTTCTAGGGTGAGATTCTACTTTGCAAGAATATATTAAGGCCGTAAAAAGATCTAACCTTACTGTTGTCCTTTGATTTGAACAGAAGGAATCGAGCTCCTACCTTCCAGGAAACAACACAGGGGGGGAGGACGAAGAGGAGGAGGAGGACGACGATGAAGACGACGAGTACGAGAGCCGATCTTGGAGACGATAAGACAGATTTGTCCCTGCATGCCCTCCAGTGGATTCTGTTCTTTTCTCTCCTGCATACAAGGAAACTGTTATTATTTTTTTTTATTTCTTTACATTACTTTTAGACTTGAATTAATGGAAAACATCTTTAGTTTTTCAGAGGGTCGTTAGTTTTTTTTAGCCCTCAGTGGAACATGTAGAACGTATCACTTCTGCTGAGAGTGATAAATGTTTTGTTCTTATAGATGGAAAACAAATCTATGTATGTTTTAGTGTGCTTATCAAATGATTAATATCAGTAATGCACAACATTTGTGTCTACTGTGATTAGGTATTTTTATACATACTGTATTTAAGCTCTTTTTCTCACCAGTTTTTTGTATAAAACAAAAGAAATGAAACGATCTCACCCTCACTTCAGGGACAGCCATTCCATCACCAGTAGAAGGCTTTCTATTGCTTCCAGAGAGATTATTTTTCCACCACATGGATAAACTGTGTTGTTCTTGGTATGGTTTCCACTTTCACTTTACTCTCAGTGTAACTTTCCTTCGGTAAAACTTAGTTCCAAAATTGAAGAATTGATCAGATATATTTTAACTCGCCCAACACTTTTAGGTGAGTGCAGGCGCTGAGCGATCCCGGCGTAGTTGATCAGTGTTTACAAATAACAGTCTCTGTGTCAACCTGACAGTTTTGTAGCATATATCCTGATTTTCCCCACCTTTTTTCCCCCTCTGTGCCACCCCGATTTGAAAAAACACGCATTTAAGAGGGTGTAAATGTCTCGCTTTTTGAACTAAGGCTCCAACATTTCCAAAATATGACATCCAAAGACAGGTGTTTGAATGTAGTACTTAACAGTTGATTTTATGATAAAAGAAAATGTGTGTAATTTCTTTGCCTTAAACTATCAGCGGATCGCTGAGTTTTTACAGGATTTGTGATTTACTTTTGTAAATTTTGTAAATGAAGAGAAATTACTGTTAAGATTTGCATCTTTTTTTGTTGTTTTTTTTCTCTTAAATGGCAGGATTGTATCAGTAGAAGAGTTCAAACAAGTGCACAGTTTAGCATATGAGTTGGACAGTCTTCATTTTTACCCTTCATCTAAGTAGAAACTTTGCTCTAAAGAACCTCCCTGAGCTGCTCTCAGTTAAAACACTCTTTATAAAGACCTCTAAGTCGTTCAGCACAGTGTAACTTTTTGTTTTTTTGCATAAAGTGCAGCGCTAGTGTTGTAGTCTACACCACACCAAGCCAGACAGAGTACCAAGACAAGGTCAAGACCTTATATGGACTTGTCTTGGTTTGTGTGGTCTGGATTACACCACTATGCAGCGCTGCCCCATGTTGTCAGTGTTGGTTTTCTAGCTGGATAAAGGAAGATTTTGCCCCCTGTTTTGCCTTTTTTAACCTTTTCTGTGATGCAGAGTAATTGGAATGGGAGCTCAGTTTGTTTTTTGTTTTTTTATACATTAACTCAGTAAGATTGCAATACCCCTACAGCAAATTGTTTACATTCAGCTTCCTAGAACTAACTTGGTCGACCAGTAAAGACAGAATGAAGCCAAATTAAAGGTGAGATTAATTTATTAGCAGGTATATTTCCTGCATGTAAATACATTTAGCTCCAGAGCAGCGGTATCACTTAAGAGGATGAGAAACTGTTTCAAACAAGTTTGTCAGTCTCAGTAAGAGATTAATACGTTTCATTGTAGACCTTTCCACTTTGCCACAGAGGTTTGTCATTTTTGTTTTTTCTTTAATTATCTAAAATACAGATTCTGAGTGTCACTCAGTTTCTGTTCCAACTTCTGTTATGCTATCACTCAATAGTGTACAAATGTAAAATGTGTATTGGATAACAGTTTTGGATTTGTTACTGTTTATATTTGCAGGATGTGTGTGTATTTTTTTTTCATGTATTTTATTTGTATAAAATTGATTTATAATTTACTAGCATGTTTGCTTTTGCCAATAAAGACAAAGGAATGGGGTGCTTGTAAGATAATACCAAAAACAAAAAAAACTAAATCTAAAAAAAATAATTGGATTAGGGAAAAAAATGATGTTAAAAAAATTGAGGGGAAAAAAATGAGAATATTGGCCACAGACAAAAAAAAAAAAAAAAGATTCAAGCAAAAGCATTCCAGAAAACTATTCCCTTTAAACTGATGAGTGGTCTCCTTTTGTTCATGTGTGTATTTTCCTTTGTGTGCTTCTCTTGGTGTAGCTCTTGCTATTCTCGCACAGGTGTGGACGTATTTCCATTTTTATTCTTTAGATGCAGTTTAACATGGCACATTGCATCTGGCATGGATTTTAGCTATCCCACTTTGGCTGCAATTACAGCCTCTAATATTTTTAGTATGGTGCCACAGCCTTAGCACACCTATCTTAAGTCAGTTTGACCCATTGTTTTTAGCAGTGCACCTAAAACTACCATGTTGGAAGGAAGAGGGAAGCTAAATCGTTTGAGCTGTGAACTTTGGGTCATCCTGCTAAATAAATCGGTCATTGCCCTAGTCTAAGGTCAAGAGCACTCTGTCTTATTTAGGATCTTAACTAGAATTTCTATCTTCATTACTGCATTCATCTTCCATTTTATCCTAACTGCCTTGCCAGTTCCTTTTGCAAAAGAAGTCTATCCCCATAGCATGCTACTGCCACCACAGTGCCTGGCTGCTGGGATGGCATTGACCTGGTGATGAGCAGTATCTGGTTTCCTGAAACTTCAGTTTGGTCAACTATGCGACCTGATGTAGGTGAGTTCCTTTCTTAACTGTCCAATCAGCTTAAAGGTATAGTGGACGGTGTTCTTCTTCCGGGTGTATCATCAAAATAAGTGGTCCTTCTAATTGTCAGTCATTCTGCTTATATATTTACGTAAGGCCGTCCTACGTGCTTGTCCCCATTTTAAAGTAAGGGTGGTGAGTGACATAGTGGAAAAATTGAATATCTTTTGGAAAGAAAGCTTGTATGAGCGATGCAAACAGCAACTTTTAAACACAGACTGCATGAAGAGAAATGGGCTTGTGCATGCACTTGCAGGAGTTTAATAGGCATTCCCTCTCAGGAGCGGGTAAAGGGTTGTACATGTGCATTTTTTTTAAGTGGAGAGGGCGGGTTTTTTCAAAAATTCCCGTAAATCCTCCACTATACCTTTTAATTTACCACAAATTATTTTTACCATTTGGAATAGGGCTGTAAGACAAACTTAATGTGGAAGATGTAAAACTCTGTGAATACTTTTTTAATGTACAGCAATTTTAAAAGCACTGAAATGACATTTGAATTTGACTCAAGTCATATAGGATTAGTGGGTTGCTGAGTTGTTTTACTTTTAAATATATAAATTTTATTTATTTTTGGACCTATAAACACTTCAGACCACATTTTTTCTCTGCTCCTCCAGAGGAATGGAAACTCAAAACAAAGGCCGCAGTATTACAACGCACGTTCACAAGATTACCTCATTAGTATATAGAGTGCAATAGAAATAATAGTTGATCAGTAAAACGCAAAAAGGGTGTGACTGTGAATAGCAAATAAAAAAAATCTTAAAAACACATGAAAAACTATTTATAAATTTAATTCATTGTAAAAAAAAAAGCCAGTGCAAAAATACAAGCTTTTACATTAATTAGAATGGGTCACTATTATCAGTTACATATTTTAAGGATAGGCAAGTCAATCTTTATAGTTCAATTCAGTACAAAGACAATTCTAAGTGCTTTAGGTAAATCAGAGTAAAAAAAGTAAAGATTAAAAACATGATTAAAAATTGGTAGTAAAACAAATAAAACAGTCGGACCACAAACTTAAACTAATAATACCCCAGTTAACAGGTTCTTCAACAGCCAAAGGCAGCTCTAAACAAATGTGTTTATCTTTGACTTAAGAGAAGTCAGGCTTTCAGCACTTTTAGAGTCTTCTGGGAGTTTGCTGCAGATAAGGAGAGCATGGAAGCTAAATGCTGCTTTTCCATGTTTTGTGCTAGCTATGAGTGAACAGTAGGCTGGACCTAGAAGATACGAGTGGTCTGGGAGGTTGATAAACTGACAATAAATCTGTTATGTATTGACGTGCTGATCTATTAAGTGATTTATAGACTAAAGGAAGGATTTTAAAGTCTATTCTCTGAGCTGCAGGGAGCCAATGAAAGGACTTCAGAACCGGGCTGAGGTGTTCTACTTTCTTAGTTCTAGTGAGAACATGGGCAGCAGTGTTTTGGACCAGCTGCAGCTGTCTGACAGACTTTTTAGGCAAACCTATGAAGACACTGTTGCAGTGATCAATTCTACTAAAGATTAATGCGTGAATGAGATTTTCTAGATCCTTTTTGGACATTAGTCCTTTAATCCTGGAAATGTCCTACAGGTGATAAAAGACTGACTTAATAACTGTCCTTATGTGCCCCTGAGGGTTGACTAAATTATTCTCAAGTATGTTCTTGGCCTAGGCCTTTGGTTGCAATAAGAGGTTTGCTCACAAGGACTTTACAAAGATTTATAAACTTTAGCTTGAGAGTAAGTTACAGGTGGAAGTACATTGTATTGTCAAAATTCTTGTGTCTTCTTACCCAAACATTAACTAGAATAGGATGCAATTAATTCAAAAACAAAACTTGAATGTGGTTATGGCCCACATTTGCAGCTACAATGGCTTCAACCACTCTGGGAAGACTGTCAGTAAGGTTTGAAGGTTGTTTTGGGAGTTTCAAACCATCCCTCCTTAAGGGCATTCAGACACCAACGGATGACAAACTACTCATTCATGTTATTGTGGACTTTGTTTTGTGCACAGATGTGTTGGAACTAAAGAGTACATCTTAAAACCATCCCTATAAGGTTAAGGATTATAAGACTGTCTCAAGTGTACTTTTATGCTGCAGCATTCAAAGCTCCTTTAACCTCCCTAACCAAAACATCCAAAATGGTTCTTTATAGAGTTGCAGCATGTTTTTCCTCCTTGCATTAAACCCTTTGCATTCTGTTTGTAAAGTAATGCTATGCAGCTGCTCACCCAGGAAAATACCTTTTTATTAAGCACTCTATACTTGTCCAGGGCTAATGTGAGGACCAGATGAAATTTGAGAGTCTTTTGATTCCACAAAAATTGGCTATGAAATTTGGAAAGAGACCATTTTCTTCAGGTTCTTCAGTTAAATATAAAAGTTAATTGTAATTCTATCAGAGCTCTAATCTTGTGATTTTTGCTAAAGGGATTCTTGACAGACGTAAAACTATACATAAGTATAGTTTTACGTACGTATTTATACATAAAGAGTATGATCCATAAGAATATGATCCATTTTTATTATTGCTGAACATCTTAGTTAAAGCAAAATGTAAAGGATGTATAGGTCAAAAAAAGTTTTGTGGAAGTTTAAGAGGGATCTAATCCTAAAAACATGATAGAAATAAAGGTTTTACATTTTTAACATATTCTCTATCCCTCCCACTGTACCAATTTACTAATACTTGTTGGCTTTATTGTCTTTTTTAATATTGTGATACTGTACAGTACCTTATAAATTGTCTTACTGAAATGAAAAGCTTATTATTAGGTCAGGTAAAATCTGAGTTGAAATTGTGTGTCTATGAACCAAACTACAGATATCACAACAAAAAGACTATGAAAATCCCTAACTATATGATTTATCAGACAGCCCCCAGTCATCAAAATGCTAATGCTTAACTTTTCCTCACTGGAATCTAAATTCTAAAATAGCCATTCTACGCATGCAGAAGCATTTTAGAGATGTGTCATGAAGATGTCATGCAGTTTATTAAAAAACAGTTCAAGCTTTCTTTTACAGCATATCAATAACATGTTAATAATATAGCAAGTCACATTATATTACTAGGTAACACGAAATTTGATTTGTTAATTACCCAAAAATTAAAGCATATAATTTCAAAGTAATTACCTGCATGTAGTTATTACAATTGTATGTTACTATGTAACAATGTAGAAGTTTGGTGGGTATTTACCATAAGGTTACAACATAACCGTTTCTATTATTGGCCACCACCTACCTACAGCTTACAAAGTAGATTGTAACTTATAATAAATAAAGCATTATATAACTGAACTGAAGTTACATATAAATAAGAGTTTAGTTAAGAAGCTTGGCTTGCTGTCTTCTAGGTTTGGTTTTCTAATAAATGCCAAGTAATAAACTGCATTTTACTAGATAATAACGCGTTGATTTATTGCTGTCTGTGAAATGACTGACTTACCTGGTAATAGCTGTTTGAAATCTAAGAAGTCTGACTTTACCTTGTTTGCCTAAAATTTGAAGAACAGCACTTACCAAAATTCTCCATAATGTGTTTCTTGTTACGTAGTAATATACTGTAACCCTGCTATTTTATTACCATGTTATTACATGGTTATTGTTGTACTGTAAAAGAAAGCGTTATCAAAAGAATTATATTAAATTCGTATCGCTTCTGATAAAGGACTTTTCTAAACACAAGTTACCTCTGAAACTAATTAAAATACATGTCAAAATATACTTTCATAATAGTGTTTTAGTGCTTAAGGTGGTTATCAATGAATTGTTGAAATACAAGACCTTCATAGTTATTTTATTGTACTCTATTCGTATTAAAGCACAGCTTTATCATGAAACATTTGATTTCTTATTTTCTTTTTGTCACATCTATATGCTGTTCATCTGCAGGACATGCACCAAAGGCTGATCAATCTGAATCCAGCCTTTAATATAGGCCTACCTTGTCAGAACTATGTCTGTCTGAAACCCGTGGTCCACGTTTGGCATCAATATGCCTGTATGGCGAGAAAAGGTTGGCTGTTTAATTTGCGTAATGCATGAGAAGATGCCAACATGGTAATGGATGCCTGCCACCGGGTTGCTGAATTATTCAGGGTCTGGGGAACCGGAGAGGCAGCCGGTAGGATCAGATGGACCCGCTGTGTCATCGGCCCAGCCTCTGTTCGCATGGCTCCTCTTTCGGTCCGTTCATCCGGGTTTCTGAGTTTTAACCAGGTGGTTAAGATGAGGAGTCGGGTAAAGAAGCAACTCTAAAAAACTGAGCATCTACATACAGAGGAGGGCAGGCCAAGGCCACTGGGACAGGCATTTGCATTAAAGTGTATGATTCACTCTAAAGAGAGAATGCAACAAGAAGTTTAATCAAACTGATCCAACTTTATTTATTTTCTTTAGAAGTTTTCAACTTGAATAAGTGAATTAAAACATCTTGCCTCAATTACTTACAAATTGAAGCAATTCATTTAAATTGAAGCTGGATTCTCTTTTCCCTCTCATGCAAATACAGCTTTTTAAATAGATATTCATACTACTTAACTGGTTCTTATTGTGTAACAGCCAAATTTCAATATACCTTTTTTTCTTGCTGGCTTTTTTGATGAAAAGCTGAGTGGAAGGAAAACAAATATGGTGATAAAAGCTGTAGAAGCAACAGGTTATAAGCAGAGTTGTCAAGTAACAAAGTACAAATACTTTGTTACTGTACTTAAGTACACTTTTTAGGTATCTATACTTTACTCCATTACTTATTTTTCTTCCTACTTTATGACAAGTATCTGTACTTTCTATTCCTTACATTTAAAAAAAAATGTTACTCGTTACTCTTGGCTTTGGTTTAATGTTTATTAATATTTATTCCACGTCTTGTGTGCCATCCAATGCAGATCATTGTCGCCATCCACATCTAGTGAAAACTAGTGTAATTGGATGAGTCATATAACGCAAACACTCAATGGATAGCTAAAGGAAATCATCAGAAGCAAGCAGGTGCTCTTCAAACTGCAAACGTGAATTGTCTACGCCATGCTACAAATGACTGGTTTGATTACAATTGTATTACTGCCCATGTTTGGGCAATAAACTGACCTGACCTAAACCCCAACACGCAGAAAAGTGAAGGAGAAAAGTTAAGTTTCTTGCATGTCAGCGAAGCTACTGCAGCCAAGACCAACGATTGAAATGTTGCTAGATATTTATGTATTTGAAAATAGTGATAAAAACAATTCTATTTTAATGTAGGCCTTTTATCTGTTATTACCAATAATTACTGATGTAAAGAAACGATAAAAAAAAAAGTCCTTAAATGAACAGAAATGCGATTTCTTACTTAAATTTTTTTAATTGAACCAGTGAAATAAATGAACCTGTCGACCATTTTCTAGTTCACTGAGATCTTTTATCCATTTCTCAAAGAAACGTCTTGAAGTGCTGTCCATGGTGCTGAAATGATAGGGTCGCCAAACATTTAATCTTCTTCTTCTAATGACAAACACCATAGATCGAAGTAAAAAAAAGAGACAGCTGTATAGGTTTCAGCATATTAACTTTTAATATTTGCTGTGTTAAATAAAAGTTATTAGATGTAAACAAGTTAAAAATAAATTTAACCAAAATATTTAAATTCTCGTCAGTGCACGGCTACAAAGGTAAAACACATAAGGGATTCTGACCACCTTAATGTGTTGGTGTCTGCAGGCCACCCTGTTGCAGCCTGTAAGTTGAGCAGAGGAGCAGGTGGGAGGGAGGAGGAGGAGAAGGAGGGGGGCTGAAAAGGGAGGAGGAGGTTGCCGGGAGGCGCGCTGACTGTGAACAGCATCAGTCTGGTGACAGAGAGCACAGGAGGCTCCCGTGGCTGCCCGCTCCTCTCGGCTGTTTTCATGTCCGGGGCCACACTGCTTGCGAGGGGGCTGCAGGGAGGATGACGATGATGACCATGAATGGCAAGCAGCATTTCTCCATGCACCCGGCTCTGCACGAGCCCAAGTATCCCGGCCTGCACTCAGGCTCGGAGGGCATGCGCAGAGTCTGTCTGCCCGCCCCGCAGGTACGTTGGGGTCAGGGTGGGAGAGAAGGGCTGAGTCGCTGCTGGGTGAGAGGAGAGGGGGGGAAATATCACACTGGAAATGTCTGTAAAGTTGATTTGACAGGACTTTGTTCTATCTCTCTTTCTCTCTCTCTATGCCCCCCTCCCCTCCCCTTCCGCCCCCCCATCCACATGTCTATTCAAGCAATGCTTTTGCTTTCATATTAATTTTTATGACTTGCGCTTTGAGGAGGGGTTCTCTCCTCTCCTCGGCGCTGTTTGCCTTTGGAAAATGTTTTTTAGATCCTGAGAGCTGCCTGACAGTATTCCCAACTGACTCCAGTATGCGCACTCTTGCTTGCAGCTGCAGGGCAATATATTCGGAGGCTTTGATGAGAGCCTGCTGGCACGGGCTGAAGCTCTGGCGGCTGCTGACAGCATTGTCTCTCAAGGCAAGAGCCACCCGTTCAAACCAGACGTGACTTACCATACCATGAGCAGTGTCCCCTGCACCTCAGCCTCCACTTCCTCCTCCACCACCGTGCCCATCTCCCACCATCACCACCACCATCACCTAGGACAGACCCTGGAGGCCGGGGACCTTCTGGATCATCTCTCCACCAGCCTGGCTGTGACCGGGATGGGTGCTCCAGAGCCTCCAGGGATGACCGCACCGGCGCACCACCACCAGCACCCTCACCACCACCTGCAAACCATGGGGCAGCTTCACCAGGCGATGGCCACCATGGCCCATCCTCACTCCCTGTCCGTGCACGGCGGCATGGCGTGCGTAAGCGACGTGGAGTCCGATCCTCGGGAGCTGGAAGCCTTCGCCGAGCGCTTCAAACAGCGCAGGATTAAGCTCGGGGTGACCCAGGCGGACGTCGGTGCTGCGCTGGCCAACCTCAAAATCCCCGGTGTGGGGTCGCTGAGCCAGAGCACCATTTGCAGGTTCGAGTCCCTCACCCTGTCCCATAACAATATGATCGCGCTCAAGCCGGTCCTACAGGCCTGGCTGGAGGAAGCAGAGGCTGCGCACCGGGAGAAGAGCAGCAAGCCGGACCTTTTCAACGGCAGTGAGAGGAAAAGGAAGCGCACGTCCATCGCCGCGCCGGAGAAGCGCTCCTTGGAGGCGTACTTCGCCATCCAGCCGCGGCCCTCCTCGGAGAAAATCGCGGCTATCGCTGAGAAATTGGACTTGAAAAAGAACGTGGTTCGAGTGTGGTTCTGCAATCAGCGGCAGAAACAGAAGCGAATGAAGTACTCGGCGGTGCACTGAGTTCTCCCCACCAACATCATGAATAAAATAGCCTACTACATTTTTGATTGAGTGATTAATAATAACCCGAGTAACCCCAACAAACAGGGATTTATCAACATCGTCCTTTGGGATCGTTTCCAGAAAGGATTTTCCCCCCTTTATTGTCACTCACTCTGCATTGTTGCACCTTTCTGGATTTTACTATTAAACTGGCATATTTATTTATTTATTTTAAAGATATTTTGGATGTTATCGATCATACTCTGCACACCTGACAGTGGACTTTTACTCTAAACTATCACATTTATTGTCATTGGACAGGACTTTTTTACTTACTGCATACATTAATAAAAAAACAACACTTATGTTCTTCACGTCATATGCAGAAATAATATGTCTTCACCTGTGGATCATATAGGATAAAAATGTTCCAAGTTTTCACCTTTTAAACACTAAACGCTTCGAATGGAGCCGCTCTCTTTGTATACTGTGAGTGATCGTGATTTACGCACAAAAAGTGTCTTTTTTCACAAGCTGTAACACTCTGTTCATCTTGAATGATCAAGAAATTGAAATTACACTGTCCTTATAGGAAGCACAACCAACGTGGCTGCTGCTATATTTTAATATTTTGATGTGAACATGTTTTTTTTTTTTTGCTGAATTACGGGTGAGCTGTATAGATATTTATTCTATGGCTTTTAACACCTGATATAGACTACGTATCTATTTTATTCACTCTTGATTTCACTTGGAACAGAAGTGTGATATTTAAACTTAATAAATTATTCGTTATTTTCTAAAATTCCCAATGTTGTTGTTATTATTGCTGTTTTATTTAAAGGGTGCTTTTTTTTTAAATCTCCAGCCTTCGGCCCGAGGCCTATATATATATATATATATATATATATATATATATATATATATATATATATATATATATATATATATATATATATATATATATATATATATATATATATATATATATATATATATATATATATATATATATATATATATATATATATATATATATATATATATAGAGAGAGAGAGAGAGAGAGAGAGAGAGAGGCTTAGCTCAATATACCTTTTTCTCAAATTATTTATTTATTTTTGAAGGTTTAATAAATCTGGAATAAAAATCCAAAACTCATATTTTTCATCTGAATCTATAAAAGAAAACAAAGAAATTAAACAGTCAGAGTGTGTGTGTTTTACCTTCAATGAGGGGAAGTGTTTTGTAAAATATACTACATTGTGGGGACCTACAGGTACTTATGGGGACATTCATCTGGTCCCCATAAGGTAAAGTTAATTCTTTAAGTTTTGGTTAGTTTAAGACTAAGGTGGGAATTCAGTTTAGGCAAGGGTTAGGTATATGTTGGTAGTAGTTAGACTTAGGACTAGTGTCTAGTTTAAACCGTATAAAATGAATGTAAGTCATTGAAATATCCCCATATATCATGATAACAAAGCTGTGTGTGGTTGAGTGTGTGTGTTGGGGGCAGGAGTTCATTAGTCCACTATCAGCTATAAGATACATTTCTTATTTTCCCCACACGAATTACAGTGACTGTTTTTTAAAGCAGTTTGTGAATTGTGCAACATAGGCTACTTAAGTGTATAGTTTTAGTCAAACACTTCTTTTTGAAAATGAAAATCTTTTAGAACAGAATTTTATTTACTTTTGTTACATATATGTAGCTTTTTATATTTGAGAGGAGGATCATATACAAACAGGGTTGTGTTTATGTGTTTTTTGGCTCTATTATTTATAGACCCCAGAACTCTTTTGGTTTTAAATATGCATTGTGGTATATGATACAAGAAAAACATCTAAACACGGGAAAGGCCCTTGATTTTCACACTGATTCTGACACCGTGGAATGAGGAGAGAGCCTCCTGGCCCCTTCCCCTCTAATTAGCGCACTTTCAATTATGAATGCCCTCGTGTTACCGGGTTTTCTCCAGCGTTGGGACTGAAATTATTAAGTAATGGCGATGCAATATTAATTATATATGTATATAAAGGCAAGTAGTTTGGACGAGCTGTGAGGAGAAGTTTGAAAGGGGGGCTACAGGGCGACTCCTGGGATTTACCAGCGTTTTGTTAAAGTAAGTATCTTTTTAATGCTCTTATAATGGTTTTTTTATTACATTCTACAGCAATATAACTTGTTTTTTAAGAAACGCAATATGGCATTATTGTTCATATTTTTAGGTTTGCTTTTATTTATTTTTTTAGTCTATTAAAAATAAATCTAAAAAGATTCTTCAACTCAGCAGGATGACGGATGCCTAAAATAAGGCTTATCTTAAAACTGCTCGGATTCCTTCTCCAAATATCAACTCTGGTTTCTAGACAGGGAAGAAATAAAGAGTGGAAAGCGAGGAGCTTCCGCTGGAACGCTCCCACGGTGGCCGTGGCTTACGGCTGTGGAAATTTTCCCGTGTGGGCCCCACAGTTGCATGGGATCGAAAGGTTTCAGCTTTACGCGGAACCGTTTGTGGCGCTCATGAATATTCTCTTTGATGGTTTGAGTGGATTTAATTCGTTTTAATTTATTGTTTTGTAATAGTTTTAAAAAAATGAAGAGGGAAAAAAAAAAAACCTTGAGTGAAGTTAGTGTAACTAACAGTCTGTTAACTGTTAAAAATATAGGTCATTTAAATATCCGCCACAAAGATTATTCAGAGGTAAAATAATACTAAAAAAAAATCTGTATATTAAAAAAATATATAAGATGTTTTCTGGTCTAATAGTGAAATTTGGCCTTTTAAATAATAGATCTTTATAGTCGCTAGTATTGATATCATAACGCGTAAGTTGAGCTGAATGCCTGTGAGCGTCAGCGGCATGTGGCGACTGAGGGCAACTCAATTATTCAGCAGTTACTGAAAGGTATATTGCTGTTTCTCATGCAATAATCGAGGTGCACCGGGAGGCCAATTTCTGCTTTATCCCTTTAAAGAAAGCATGCTTTCCACAGCGAACACTGGGGAAAAGGGCATTTACTTAATCATATTTAGTTACTTTAACACAATTGTTTTATGTCCTACCCTGCTTACATGAGACAGTTGTGATAAAGTAACTAAATATGATTGAGTATATGCCAAAAACGGTTGCATTATTGTTTTCAGTGAATAAATGGTTTACAATTAATCCAAAAACTAATGCAAGAATTAAAAAGGACCAAGAGAAAGAGAGAGTCCAAGGAATTGCGCAGATTTGGGATTTGAGAGACATTTTTTTGTCAGAATGAGGATGGGAATTCCGTTTAATTGCTGAGGATGCATGCACTTTTACACTGAACACACGCTTGCTTTATTAACAGCCACACAAACACACAGGTTGGCTGTTAAGCAGACTGAGGGAATGTGAGAGGAGAGGTGGGAGCCACGACACCCAAGACTCAATAATTCATAGGATGCCACTAGCAACAAATGAGAATGTGACCAGAGCGAAGGAAGACAGCTACCTCCCTTTTAGTCACCTTCAGTTATCATCACAAGCCCAACCAGCAAAGCAGCAAGTCATCCTGCAGGATTCTACTTTCATGTCAAGCATGGACACGCACACATAAACGCACCCAGTGAGCTACTGTGCAGAAAATAAAGCCAAAGTTATAAATGTTTATTAAAGAAATTATTCTGTTTCCTTAACTAAACTCAACAAGTTTACTTCTAAATAGAGCGTTGACTGAAATTAGTTCATTTTTTTTAATATTAAAGAAAATACATAGCAAACTCTTTGAAAGAATAATAAAATAGACAACTTAATTTAGTGTAAAAAAATGAAAAAGGACAATCCAGTCTTTGCGTGTTAATAACTGAATAATAATAAATAATAAAGAAATTGTCAACATGAACCGTTTAAACCGTATATATATTTTTTAAATCAATAAGGTGTCCCCCTTTTGTCCCCAAGTTTCTAAATATTTGAATTAACATTTACACACAAATGTTTGCACATCTGCCAACAATTCCTTTATTTTTTGTATTTAAATGTGTTTTTTTTTTTTTTTTTTTTTTTTTTACAGTACTTTACTGCATTTACTTAGGTCAGAATTTTAAAGAACAGATGACACAATATTGATGGAAGCATGAGTTTGATATAGCCTGCTGTCCCACACTAAAACTGAGTGGTAACTTTTTTTATATATATTTTTCTTCTTAGAATGCGTTTCACATTGATTTTAAATAACATTTTCATTAGTCTGACTTCTTAGTTAGCTATTAGCAATGGACTCATTTAGTTCACTTTATTTGTCAGTTTGTTATATTTTGGTTAAGATGCAATTGATTCATTTCTTTTTCTTTGAGTTGCCAGTTTCCTTTAGAGCGGCTGCTGGAGGTCTACAATGAGCTGCAGCTTTCTTCTCCTTATATGGTCGTTGCAGCCTAATCAGCGGGTCACACAACTTACTGGAATGGGAGGCGAAATTGGTTATAATTTATTTAGATATTCTTCATTTTTGATTGTTGAGTTATATTTGTTCAGTTAAAAAAGTACTTAGTGTCTGACCAGTATTTGTTTGTTTAATTGAGTTTATTTGTTAATGTGTTAGTCCAGGGCCGGTTCTAGCCCTTTGGTTGCCCTAGGCGAGATTGAGTTTTGCGCCCCCCCTCACTTTTGCCGTGCGAAATACCAGTACTGTTTTCAGCATCTGTTTAGTGCTTCATTGAGTTGTGTTTACAGTTCCACAAAGAGTGCTGTGCGGTGAATTGTGCCTACAGTTGTGCAAAGTGTGTGTTACAAAATTGCAAATTGAGTGCAAAGCAGTGTTTGTTCTTTTAGTTTTATGAACTCAGTGAGTGGATTTGCTATAAGTATTAATAGTTTTAGAAATTGTGCTATAAGAATCAAGGTTGTGTTTAAGCATTCAGAAAAAATTGTAACTTAGCATGGAGTGATGCATAGACAAATACCAGAATAGGTTTCAGTACCTTTTCTTTTTTATTATTTTAAATAATTTATTACACACTCAAAGTTAGGACTGTGCAAAAACACTTTTAACCATCTGTAAGGACACTTAGGTAAAGTATAACTAAAAAACTGGATTGAATCATTGAATGAATTTATTTCAGACAATTAACAAATTTAACACACATTAAACAAATATTAAATAAATCAATTTCAGAAATTACCAAATAACAATAAAAAATAAGAAATTTAAGAAATTCTTCAACCAAGGACTACATAAAAAAGTAATTGATAAACATTAAATTAAATTTTCTGTTCCAGTTCAATTAAATCATTTGAACATAAATAGAAATGAGATAAACAAAATTTTCCTCTAAATAAAATATATCAGGTATATTTACCCTGATTTCTGACATTGATTAGTGATTAAATAAAGGATTAACCCTCTACAAACAAAAGTGCTTTTATGAATACATTACAAAATTAAAAGTTTGAAGTTGTTGTTTTTTTTTTGTTCACATATTCTATGATGAACAGCCATAACTTCATATATTTTGATGATTATTTGTACATCCCTTTTGAATACTCAATGCAGATAATCACTACAAAATATTTTATTTATATTAGTATCTTCTACCCATTCTCAAACTAATAATATAGCACATAATTCTGAGAAAAAAATGTTGTCAACATTAGGGATGGGGATCGTTAATATTTATTGATATCGATACCTTTATCGATACTCCTTATCGATCCGAGTCTTTATCGATACCACTATCGATACTTTTCTGTTATTTGGTGGAAAGACGATGCAACAAAATTTTATTAACAGAACTGGTATTGCTTCTATTGCTTAACAAGTGAGCATAACAAAAACGTTTC